CAGAGAGAGAGAGAGTCAGAGATCGCAGATCGCACACGTAAACTTGTCAACACTTCCCCGCAATTTTTGTTAATAAAATAGCCTAGATACTAGATCACTACATTATATACCTCAGCAACGAGGTGGTAAAATAGCTGTTTTTGAAGTAATTGTTTGTAGAGAGACGCAGCATGCGTACACACATACAACTGCCATCTCTCCCTTTCTCTCTCTCGATCGATAATTAATTGAAATAAATGCTATAATTAATTCAAATAATAGGATCTTACTGCACTATTTAATCTCTGTGTCTGATTTGAAGCGGGCAGAATGCTAGAGCTAACGTGCCGTAACTGACTAAAATAACTAATTTTTACCCATTCGGTCAAATATTGCACTGCAAAGAGCAATATTAGTTTTAACTTGTCTATAACTTGGCAAATGACCATGGAATAAGCGGGATAATCAATGGCTTGCCATGCATTAAAGGATTTTAAATCCTTTAATGCACGGCAAGCCGTTGATTATTCCTTACGCATTTCAGTTAGTTACCAAGGCAACATTTCTAATTTTCTTTTAGTTTGTTTTTCATCAGTTTCTGAATTTGTTTTATTTTAGCTTTATTTCAACAAAAATGTTTCAAGTTTAAGTTAATGATAACCCTATTGTGTTCACTTTAGGGTGAAGAAGAAGGTAGTTCATCAGGAGCTGGTAACGAAGAAGGTCTTAAAACCTTGCAGCAGCAGGAAGAGATGTTCCGCAATCTGGACGTCCAGTATGAGATGGCCCGTTCACAGACACACACGCAGAGGGGAATGGGCCTAGGTTTCTCCTCTTCGTTTTCTTCAAGGGGCATGGATGCTGTCTGAACATTCTGTATTTGTGCTTCTCATTTCTGTAAATTCTGGCTGATGTTGCCACTGTAAAGCTGGTTTGTATGTGTTTGTAGATAATGCTTGTGCATTAGCCTGCATGTATTCATTTTGGAAATTCACATGTAAATACAGTTGATTGCTCAAACATATATTGTCGCTTGGTCTCTGAAGATTGTGTTTAATATTGTAAAGCTTTTGTTTGGATTTTGGGAGGGGAATGTGATTGTATATTTCACTAATGACACTGTCTGAAGATTCCTGATATATCAGTGACCAATGGGTACCAGGGGCTATGATATATTGTGAATGCTTCACGGCTTTTTATGAAATGGTTACTACATAAATATATCAAGAACACAAAGTAACATGACAGACCATCATCAGTTTGAGTTGGGAAAAAAACACTTTCACAGAACAATAAAATAATTTAACATACAAAATACATTTCATCATTCATGAATATCATACATTTTTGATTCCTTATTATACCAACAGAAACTGAAGTGGAAAAATTAAAACAATTGAAATGTAAATGTACTATTTGCCTAGTCCTTGTACTAACTTACTGTACAATACTGCAATATTCAGATTATGTGGTTCTTAACAGATAAGTTAGGTTTAGGCTGAGCTACTTCTAATTAAACTACTTGATCAAATAAATGATTAGAAATAGCTGTCATGTGTGTTCCAGCAGAATGTCAACTGCTCACTGAAGTTAATAAAGTTTTTGTGGGACCACTAAGGAGTTCCTGTATGAAGGCAGTTCTAACTTTTACATTTTGGCTGATGTAATCTTAAAAATAAACGTAGGTAAACATACATAGGCTATACTTTGAACACTTAGTGTAGTTGCATGACAATAGTTGTTCAAATCAAAATCCAAAATTAAATTGAAAATATCCTTTTCAAACCAAAGTGCCTCAGTGCATTTCGGATAAAATAGTAATCAGAACATCCCCAATCTTTGATTTTTTGGCATATTCAAATACCATTTCTTTACGCATAAGACAGAATCATCTGTTGAATCATGCAGAACACAAAAACTGCACTTCTCCTGGAGACCCATCTGTCTAATATAGAGCACATGAAGCTACGCAGAAACCTGGGCTGCGTTTCCCAAAAGCATCGTAAGCCTAAGTTGATCGTATCTCCATTGGTTTCTATGGGTCTTAAGCACTTAAGGGTACTTAAGCTTACGATGCTTTTGGGAAACAGTCCTGGGTGGCTGGTTTATCATTCTTCATTCAAATCCAACAGCAAAGGCATTACCCCATTTATCTTGAGGTCCTGAAAATAACCCTTTTCAGCACGGCTTACTCTGCCTCACAACAATGTGCAGCTTGCGCCTTCACCCAATAATTTGTCATGATTCTATATGGGCTATTCTATCATTATTATTTGTAATGCCAAAATTGCTGGACGACAATTGTGAGACTACTAGACCACGTTATTTTAAAGAACCTCGAAGCACCTGTCCATAATTGTAGGAGCTCTTCCATTAGAAATGTGAACACATTGGAGTCTATGACTGATAGAAGGCCTTGAGCTTGAGTGGAGTGGATGACCATGCCAGAGTTGAAAGGGGTGGAGATCCACAGGGACCACTGACCATGGCAGAGTTGGGATCGATAGACCATGGTCGATTCAGAAGGACAAGGGACCCTGATCAAGCCAGAAGGCTGGAGGACCATGGTGGAGTCAAGGGACTGGAGATCCATGTAAAAATGAAGGGTTGTAGGGCAGAGGCAGATTTGTGCCCTCGAAGGGCCAAGGTGGGGCCAAATGGTCGTAGACTGAAACCCTGAGACCATGGTGGCACTGGCTGACAAGGAGACTCATGGCCTGAGAAGTCATGGCCTAAGAAGTGGACAAAACCAGTGAATCCTTTAAGCTGGATAGAACTAATGTAGGGGAATGGGTTAGGGAACTGGACAGAACCAGGGGATCACCTATGCTGGAAGGAACCAGCAGAGGAGAAGAGGTCGGGGAACTGGATAGAACCAGACAGTAATTCATGCTGGACTGGGACCAGCGGGCAGAGGAGGAAGGTCTATGGCTCCAGACGAGACCAGAGAATCTAGCCAGCCGTACAGGACTAGACAACACTGACAGACCGCTGCTCTGTGACAGGCATATGTTCCAGCTCAGGATCCGTATTTTTAACTTCCTCAACCATGGTAAAAAGAGATCCAGTCACTTGGAGGGCCAGGTCAAAAAATTGGAGCAGTGTCCCTTGACGATATTCATATAACTGAAGAAATTAACCAGTACCCTCCACTACAGCCCCCTGATGATCAATGGTGCAATGGTTGAGAAGAAGACCAGCTTTAAATACCTTGGGGTCCACCTCACAGAAGGTCTTTGCTAGACAACACACATGCATCACAGTCTACCCACAAGGAGCATCATCGGCTGACTTGAGATCCACCATGGGCCGGGACTGAGAGGTGCTGTCCAGAGTGATGAGGACAGCAGAGAAGGCCATCAGGACCTCTCTTCCCTGGATCACTGATATTTACAACCAGCGATGCAGGGCCAGGTGACTCATTAAAGACTTTCACCACACCAGACATAGACTCTTCACAGTTCTTCCATCAGGAAAGCTCTACCGAATCCTATATTCTATTTTATTTAGATATTTTACTCTTTTCTGTTAGACATCCAAACATAGAATTTGTTAGAACCCTATTGTATTTGTACTTTTTTTGCCAGTTATTCCTTTTCTGCTCTAAAAGAATCCGGGCAACAGAGACATCAATTCATAGAAATGTCAGCCTTGGTGGGATAAATCCAAACCAAAGAATTTTGGTTTATCAAGCATTACAAAGTTATAAGCCATTTACATGGCCTTATATCACCCATTTTGATGATCTGATCTATATTCAGATTTAACAAAACTTAACTCATAGACAACAGGGCATTCTGAGCACCCACAATAAAAGTTGCATGAAATTCTGCCCATAGGGGATGCTACAACTGAAAGCCATAACACCACAACAGTTTGATCAAGGAAAATTAAATATGATGTGAACGCTAGGAGAGTTACAGCAATGCCTAAACGATTAGACATTTATATCAAAGTAAATGACAGAAGAAGACTGTAATACTGTAATGTTATCCACATGGTAAGAAACCACTTTCAGGTATAAGTGTATATGGTTAAATATCTTCACCCCAAAAAAGGCATAGAAATTCATTTGTAGAACCTTCTAAAACTTAACTCATAGACAACAGGGCATTCTGAGGACCCACAATAAAAGTTGCATGAAATTCTGCCCATAGGGGATGCTACAACTGAAAGCCATAACACCACAACAGTTTGATCAAGAAAAATTAAATATGATGTGAACGCTAGGAGAGTTACAGCAATGCCTAAACGATTAGACATTTATATCAAAGTAAATGACAGAAGAAGACTGTAATACTGTAATGTTATCCACATGGTAAGAAACCACTTTCAGGTATAAGTGTATATGGTTAAATATCTTCACCCCAAAAAAGGCATAGAAATTCATTTGTAGAACCTTCTGAGTTTGATTAAATTAATGATTAATTAATAGTATATATATATATATGTATATATATCCTAATGATATTAGATACATATTTGTTGTCATATATTAGATATTAGATACACAGTTGCCAGACATAGCTGAATATATTGCTGCGCAATTAAAATAAGACAATATTATTTGTCTCTTTTAAAAAATAGCGTAACATTTCTTTAAAGCAGGGCTGTCCAAACTCGGTCCTGGAGGGGCGGTGTCCTACAGAGTTTAGCTCCAACTGGCCTGAACACACCTGACTGGAAGTTTCTATGCCTAGTAAGAGCTTGATTAGCTGGTTCAGGTGTGTTTAATTAGGGTTGGAGCTAAACTCTGCAGGACACTGGCCCTCCAGGACCGAGTTTGGACAGCCCTGCTTTAAAGAGACACTTAAAGATGCATATTACATTTGAAAAAATACATAATTTGATCACTGAATTGTCTACATAAGCCATTGGTGATTGGATCCAGGTGAATATGTGTTCTATTTGATTTATTATTATTATTTTATTATATTATACAAGTGAATTGCAAACTAAATAGAATTTTTAAATGTTTGATGTTCCAACTCTCAAATTCACAGTGTGACAGCATTAAACATTCTTTACAGTAATCTGGGGAAGCTCTTGCAAGCAGTGTATGCAAAATGTCATGTTTTTATGTTCATAATTTTTAATAGGTTGGCCTAAAATCATGAGATTGCTGTCTTTTTATTCCTTTTGGGACAAAATACAAAATCTGTCAACAGCTTGCTGTGGAAAGGACATCACCATTTGACTTTTAAAGAAACTATTTATTTGAAATCATTTGTGTTTTAATGCTATAAACCTACAAAACTGCGACCAAATGATACGTAATGTATAACCTACATCTAAGTATACTTATTTGCATATTAGACTGGAATACAAGACATGAGCTACTCCTGTGATAAGATTGTGATTAGCAAATTCTAGAATAAGTAATAAAATGGGGTATTCGCTGTGTCTTTTCCAGTTTTCTGCCTCGTCACTCAGACCCATCCAGTGTGCAAGAAGATTTCGCATTGCCTCTGGGAAAAGTTCAGTTGCCAGCTCCTCAGGAGGCGGCAAGTTTGTAATGTGCTCAATGTGTTGGGCCTTAAAACCTTCAACCCGGTGACTAATGGTGCTGTTGGCTGCATTGAACTGCTGGCCAAGCCAACCTGCCACAGCCTTCAGCAGACTGCTTGAGTAGATGGAGTAGCTCTGAAAATGAGTTTGAAACAGGGCCATCACAGTGTCCATCAGTTTTTCCTCGTCAATCATCCCAGTAATACAGTATTCAACATAGTCCAGGACCTTTGTGGCAGTCTTTAAATGTTCTGCTTCAATACTTGTAAATAACTTCACTTTTTCCCCTAGGCTTTGAAGTTTCTGTGCAAGTAAAGTAGACTGGCTTAAGTTTGTTTGCTCTGAGGAACAGTAGTCATGGTCTGAAGATGATGAAATATCTGACTGATCTGTGAGTACTGGAAAGAAGTTTGTTTCTACTTCGCCAGACTGCCGATGGACTTGGTATGATGAACATGTATTATTATTTTCCAAAATTGTTTGCGCCTCTTGATCATTTTGGGGTTGAACATCCTGGGCACCAAGATGATAGGTCATGTTCAAGTTGTTGTCATTTATTCGAGATTTCCATAGATCCTAATGAACACAATTATTTAAAACAATAAACACTTTATTACAAATTTAGAAAATATAAGGACATGATAAAAATCATAAAATGACAAATTCAAATTACCTGAAATGACTCCATAACTGAGAGCTGATCTTGTTTGCTATACAGTTCAAATGCCACTCGAAAAACTCCATGAACACTATAGAACCACAGACTGTTGTTGGAATAAGGGAGTCGCAGTCCTTGGAATCTGTAGTCTAGAGATCAATCAGATAAATATTAACCTCTAACCCTCTAATTAACCCCTAATGAAAATTGACCAGGTCAAAAAAATAATAACCACATACCTGATGGGAAAACCAGTTTGGTTGCCAATCCTCGTTTAGCAAATTTTGCATGGTATCTGGGCTGGTTTTCACTGCGAACGTCTGTGTCTGAGAACAGATCAGCTCCAAGAAAGAGAGGGATCATCTGATCCTACATATTAAATGAAAAAATGAATAAATATAATATATTAACTGAAATTTCATTAATTTGAAGAATTATCTGACCATAAAAAATAAATGTTCATACATTAATAAATTCAATAACCTTATTTTTTGAAGAATCGTCAGGTTGTACAACTACACTACAAAAAGTAACTCTATACTTTCTTTATATAAAATGATTAGGAAAACAGCTTGATTGTGAACAATAATAAGCTACACATTATTTAAAGAGACATTAATACACATTAATAGATGCAATTAATTTATTAATAATCAAGATAAGGCAAACACTCGCTGGAAAAAACAAGAACCCACAGTGGAAAGGCACTCTTGGAAATGAAAAAAACAGTCTAAGCTTATTGGCTAGTCGTAGCTGTTTTGAGATGGACGTAGGTTGAAGCTGGGGTGTATTCCAGAAAGCAGGTTATGTGACATACCCCGGTATGTTTGAGGATAAGAGAGCGGATAACCTCAGCTTTTGGTTCCAAAATCGGAGGTTACTTTCAGGGTATGTAAGTAACCATAGTAACTTGCTCTCTGAAAGTAACCTGCTCCGGAGCAGGTTATGTTCCAGGGTTTGTTCACTTCAGAGCCAATATAAGTAATAAATAAGTTAATATTATTCTAGTATGGTTATATTTATTTTATTGGCATATAGAACAGTTATCTGTATAAATTATAAAACACTTATGACAAGGTAATATTTAATTCATTATATTACATGGAGTTTATTTGCAAAAACAGATAACTTCGTTTTTTTACATTTTCAAAAATCATGTTTTTTATTATGTTATCATGTTTTTATTGTGTTTTATTGTGTTAGTTAACTGTTTTTTTGTTGTTGTTTTTTTACCTAGTCAAAATAACCCAACTGCAGTTTGATTAACTGAGATTAACTGGAATGCACAATGAAAAAACATGATTTCTGAGAATTGTTAAAAACGGAGTTATCTGCTTTTGCAAATGAACTCTTCATATTCTGTTGTATATAGCTTTTTGTAAGGAACAGACTGAAATAATAAAATTAATTATAATATAAATATAAAATAATAAAAATATATACAATTTAAAAAAAAAAAAATTTATAAATATAAAATAAAAAATTGAACCTTAAACCGCATAAACACATTTCATTACACCAAATAATGTTATTTTTAGCAGCATCATATGACCCCTTTAAAGATTAAACGGAAAAAAAAGAAAAATTATTGCACAACCATCAATTAGGTGGCGATATGCACTAAGCATGTAAACGACCATTGAACAAAAGAAGAAGAAAGAAACAGCATGGCGCTCTTTTTCTTAGCGTCCGTTTCCATAGTGACTCATCGATTCGGCGCTCTGTTGAGAATGTCTTGAGTCTTAACCAGGAACATACTCTGAGTTTAATAAACTTACTCCCGGGCGCGTTTTTGGAACCACATACCTCGAGTAAGCAAGGAATACACTCCTGGTCTCCCACCCTGAACCTGGTGTCCCAGCTCGACCAGTGGTGTAATCCAGAAAGCACGGTTAACTTACCGTCAGCTAAACCCTGAACTTTCAGTTGATTAACCCCAAACCTTGCTTACTCGAGGTATGTGGTTCCCAAAACGAGCCCGGGAGTAAGTTAATTCAACTCAGAGTACGTTCCTGGTTAAGACTCAAGACATTCTCAACAGAGCGACAAATCACTATGGAAACGGATGCTAAGAAAAAGCACGCCATGCTGTTTCTTTCTTTCTTCTTTTGTTCAATGGTCGTTTACATGCTTAGTGCA